TTGTCAATAGCATCAAACCATGCAGCTATATGTTGGTCAGCACAGAGAATTTGTGTGACCAAATTGAACGTGCAAAAACGTTTTGCCCTCATGTGAATTGCATATTTTTCTATTGGAATGACTCAATTTTGTCTGCAGAATTTCACCATGCAACGGTAAATGTAACTGCACCTCGCACTTTCAATGGATGTCTGCTGTCCAAAATGTACAAGAAATTCCACTGCAAGTGCATTTCTGTCATCGCTTTTTATTAATTCGTTTTTACAGACTGAGGTAGAAGTCAAAATTATTTTCAGCAATAATTAACAGCATTTTGAGACTGAGCAAAACTTAACCGTCAAATTCCTTTAAAGGTACAATATGTAGGAATTTTTCGCCACAAGAGGGCGCAGTTACCAACAATAACAAAGGCGAAGCTTGGTGACGCTATGAGGGAGAGTTGAACGATGGGAGATGTCGTTTTCACCATCCAGAGATGTTATGGAATTAATGAATCATGATCACGGATGAGGTACTTATCGTCTGACCGCAATATTTTATGTCACCATAATGAATTAACTGCAAGGAACGCGAAATGTTATACTATATTATCCTGTTACAGCTATTTGTCAAATGATTTGTTGGGTTAATGCTGCGCAGTTTTACATGTTTATCGTTAATGCCGTGTTGTTTTACGTGTTCAAACCAATCGTACTCAAAGTAAATTTGAACGAACATTTGCAAGTAATGGCTAAATATTGTTTAAAAACACATATCCGATTGTATTTAATTGCACTGCCATAATCTCGGTCAAAACACAAGTGATAAAAAGCATTACCAAAGTACAAAGCGCAATATAACTGTGAATTTTCATCAGCATAACGATCACTTGATAGTTTTTGAGGTGAATCAACATATGCATAATGATTGATCAGTCACGTCATAAAGGCCTATGTATCTCGCATTGTTTATAAGTGATATTATTGACAGTTGCATGTGTTGCAAGGAAACACAGATACATCCTTTTGTTTTATGTACATTTGCTCACCTGTCTAATAAAGTATATGCAAGAGCGGTGTTGCTCCTCCAAGTTAGTCGCGGACATGGAGCTCTCGGCATTTCGAAAACGCCACGCCGATATTGATCCTCATTTTAGTTCTCCTTTTTTTTTGTCCCAAAGTCTGCTTGCCATGGTCCATAATGATTGAACGAAACAACAACAGTGTGCAGCTAAACGTTACGCACTATGCAGTTGTCCGCGTCTGTCGCCATGGTTACGTCATGGCTATGGCAGTACGAGCGGAAACCGAGGAAAGCGCGGATATTGCGTCATTGACAGGCGACATTTTTTTCCGGGACGGCCACTTATTTAAAATAGGAATTTCTCTGAAATAAAAAATCTTTGGAGACTTTTGGGATATTGTAAGTACACAACTGCAGGAAATATATCACACTGTGCAAGTGATTTTTGGATATTTTATTAAAAATTTCCCACATATTGAACCTTTAAGGGATAGTTTACCCCAAAATTTAAATTCTGTTATTAATTACTAACCCTCATGTCGTTCCAAACCCGTAGGACTTTCGCTTATTGTCCCTCCATTGACAGCTACGCAACTACCACTTTAACTCTTCAAAAAGTTCATAAAGAGATCGTTAAACTAATCCATATGAATTGAATGAGTGGTTTAGTCCAAATTTTCTAAAGAGACACAATCACTTTATAAGACGAACAAATTGAATTTAGGCTTTTATTCACATATAACTCTGATTACCACAATTTAAACTTCAGTTGTGGTAAACAGAAGCTCAAGCATGTTCACCTGACATGCAAGAACCAATGAGGTTCATTCTTGTGTTACACTTCACGTTTGAGCTTCAGTAAGAACCAATGAGCTTCATTCTCATGTGTTACGCAGCACGTTTGAGCTTCAGTAAGAACCAATGAGGTTCATTCTCGTGTTACGCAGCACGTTTGAGCTTCAGTAAGAACCAATGAGGTTCATTCTCGTGTTACGCAGCACGTTTGAGCTTCAGTAACAACCAATGAGGTTCATTCTCGTGTTACGCAGCACGTTTGAGCTTCAGTAAGAACCAATGAGGTTCATTCTCGTGTTACACTTCACGTTTGAGCTTCAGTAACAACCAATGAGCTTCATTCTTGTGTTACGGAGCACGTTTGAGCTTCAGTAAGAACCAATGAGGTTCATTCTTGTGTTACGCAGCACGTTTGAGCTTCAGTAACAACCAATGAGGTTAATTCTCGTGTTACACTTTACGTTTGAGCTTCAGTAACAACCAATGAGCTTCATTCTCATGTGTTACGCAGCACGTTTGAGCTTCAGCAAGAACCAATGAGGTTCATTCTTGTGTTACACTTTACGTTTGAGCTTCAGTAAGAACCAATGAGGTTCATTCTTGTGTTACACTTTACGTTTGAGCTTCAGTAACAACCAATGAGCTTCATTCTCATGTGTTACGCAGCACGTTTGAGCTTCAGAAAGAACCAATGAGGTTTGTTCTCACGCATCAAGCAGGTTTGGTTGAGCTTCTGTTTGTTCACTGATCAAGGCTTATATGTGAATAAAAGCCTAAACTCAATCTGTTCATCATAAAGCAACAGGTTCTCTTAAAGGACAAGTTCGGTATTTTACAATTAAAGCCCTGTTTTAAGATCGCTTCTGATGAAATAGAATGGTTAAGATTGTTTTTTAGACAGATGCTGCTGTCCCAAGAATTGGGACACTGCACTGTCCCAGATGCTGCTGTCCCCCCTGGGGTGTTCACTGATATGCTCACACAAAAATCGCTGCAAAAGATGCTTTCCAACAGGTGTTTTACCATTCGTTGTAAAACTGTAGACCTATTTTTCCGAACGCCTCACAACCGTACATTCTTCCATTGAGAGCTTGAATAATAGACACTCCAGCCCAGTTGGTGGCGATATGCACCTTTGCCAATTGCAAGCAAACCACTTGTATAGTGTAGCCTACGATACCACGACTGCATAAGACTACAGAAAGAATACAAACAACCCCATTTCCGTTTCCGGCGGCGGAGTAATACCGTACATCACAGAACATACAATACAAGTCAATGGAGTTGTACAAAAACTACGATAAAACCTGTTGGAAAGCATCTTTTGCAGCGATTTTTGTGTGAGCATATCAGTGAACACCCCAGACCACTCGGTGAGTTTCACGTCTTTGAAACTAAAGTTGTATGCGTTTTATAAAGGATTGTTCCTGTGCACCTATGCTACCATTGTAGAGGTGGGGGGTGCTACCACAGAATCCGAAAATTCTCGGGACAGCAGCATCTGTCTAAAAAACAATCTTAACCATTCTATTTCATCAGAAACGATCTTAAAACAGGGCTTTAATTGTAAAATACCGAACTTGTCCTTTAAGGAAATTTAGACTAAACAGCTCAATTCATATGGATTAGTTTCACGATCTCTTTATGAACTTTTTGAAGCGTCAAAGTGGTAGTTGCTTAGACTGTAAATGGAGGTACAGAAAGCTTTCAGATTTCTTCATTTGTGTTTCGAAGATGAATGAAAGTCTTACGGATTTGAAACAACATGAGGGTGAGTAAATTATGACAGAATTTTCATTTTTGGTTGAACTAATCCTTTAAACTTTAAAATTGCCATGAAACAGAAATTGCAATATTCTTTTCTTCCCAATTGTGATGTTTCATTCCCAAATGAAACAAAAATTTATTAAAAGGTTTTGGTTTGTTATTGGTTGATCTCATGTGAGTGACAGGTTGTCCCGCCCTCGGTAAACGTGTCATCAGAGAAGAGATGTTGCTTCAAGAGGGAGGGAAAGTTAATTTGATTAAGGATTATGGGGAAAGATTTATTTATTTTGAATCAATGATGTGCACAGATAAATCATTTATAATAAATACGACAATATTACAATACTGCGAAGCCAATTTTGATCAGATAAACAAGCAAGTTTCCTAAAATAAAATAAAAATGAATGTAGTACAACATAAATATAGAGCTCTGCCTAACTTGCTTAGATAAGCTAGTGCTAAATATCATCTTAAAAAAGGAGGAAACAACACATTAGGCAATCATACAGCAGTGACAAAACTGAAACCATCTATGGAATAAGACAGCTTTCAACATTTTAAAATGTCCTAATGTTAACAACTGTCATTTGTAATACATTGCCTGGTGTGTTTAGTAAGGGCCTAACTAAAAACTTTTTTTTGTTGTATTTTGTAATGAATGTAAACCTACAAAAAATACCACATGCTTCTTACTCTGATTGTATGTATTAGTTTACAGAATAAAATTAACTACAATCACAACGATCTTTTAGAGACCTTGTGGCTGCCATTGTTCGTTTTCGTAGCAAATGTAACGTTAGTTCGAACACGGACGGAGAAAATACAGCAGGATTCCCTCATGTTTGAGAAATACACCTGCAGAAAAAAATGATAAACTACTAAAAGTGCCTACTAGACACCATTTTCGACTATCAAGTAGGTAGACAGATCACTATTTTGTAAAACACTTTCAAAAATCAGAGGGTCGGTTAATTCAGAGGTTCAGTTAATTCAGGCGCTTATCTCGAGCACACAGACACTAATGACTGTTGTCAATATATAACACTACAGACAACACAGTGTTTATCGCTTCTCCTTTATACAGAAACTCACTGTTCACTAGAAATGTCGTAAAATAAAACACAAACAGGGTTTTGACCGAAACGGAGATGTGTTTTTTTTTTTTTTTTTTTATGATTGACAGGTTCATCTTTTTTTGCTCAAGGTTAGGAACACAACACAAAGCAGGCGGCGAGCAATTAACACACCATGATCAACTCTCGGGTTGATTCGTAAATAAATAAGTATCATAACGCATGCATTCTTTGCATTGCTCTTGTCTTTTTTGGCCTAACTTCCTTTGGGGGAATCCCCCATCTTTTTGAGCCAGATAGCACGGCGTTTGAGGAACACAGCTGTCAAAAGTGACAATGATCAGACGGGCTGTCATGTCTTACCTTCTCTCGCCTTCAACAGAACAGTGTTGGCCACGATATTCTCGAGCTCCATGTTTCCTGGGTTGCAGGCAGGCACCGCAGGCCCAACCTCGTCGCCGGGTTGGCTATGTATGTGTGTGTGTGTATGTGTATGTGTATGTGTGTCCTCCCCCGCTCCCCCCCACGGCGGAATATTATTAACCCTGAATGACTCTCAGCTCTGCCGTTTCGCTCCTCTGATTCCCCGCCCAGAAGCTTCGGACTTGCGTCGATCGTAGAGCCTACTATGGCAAAGGCTGAGCTCATGAATATTAATGAGACATGCTGACGTTGCTTGGTAACCGACCCGGAGCGTCCTGCTCGAACGGTCCTGTGGAAAACAAAAGAAGAAGAAGAAGATATTAAAAGAGCTTTACTTTTACGCTGTATGTGATTGATTTAACATATAAAACGAAGAACTGACATATTTTCAATCAGGTGTACAGTATTAGTATAATAACAAATGATAGATGTTAGACTAGGCAATATGAAGGCTTAGATAAATAATAGTCCAAGCTTAACTCTTGAATATTTATAAGATTAGGCTGACAAGAGGTATATACTTTTTTAGAATTCTTATAAATAATATATATATATATATATATATATATATATATATTTATATATATTACACACAGTGGTGGCCAAAAGTATTATTTATAATAATTCTAAAAGTCTCTTCTGCTCACCAAGGTTTCATTTATTTGATCCAAAATACAGCAAAAACAGTAACATTGTTTTAAAATGTAATTTATTCCTGTGATCAAAGCTGAATTTTCAGCATCATTACTCCAGTCTTCAGTGTCACATGATCCTTCAGAAATCATTCTAATTATGCTGATTTGATGAAAACAGTCGTGTACAATATTTTATATATATATATATATATATATATATATATATATATATATTGTTTGTTTTTGTTTTAATGCTCATTATTGTTGTCCTAATAATGTTTGTACATTTGCTTTATGTAGTAAAAAGTCTTTAAAAACATCGACCACGTGATCTGTTTAATATTCATGACCAAATCTTCGCCATAGTAGGTTTCGTTCTTTCTCAATCAGACTTTTGCATGTTCGTACTTGTCTTTTGTAAGATGCTATATGTTTCCGTATCCCCATATATCTGCTTATTATTATACGATGTTTTATTATTATTATTATTCTAACCATATTGCTGAATATATAAGCTGATCGCTGTCTATTTATCAATATCTGTCATGTCTTTTCTTTGATGACATCAACATTTTTTTTTGCAGACATACGGGGTGCCACAACAACAGATTATATGCAGCTCTGAACTTGTATTTACATGAAATGCATTCGTACTTGTGCGTTTTGCAAAGCTTAGTTTATATCTCCATCTAGAGGTAATCGGTTATACCTAATTATTGAAAAGCCATTTTTTTTTCTAATATAATGATTATAAAAACCATAAATACTAATAATACAACTTACTACTAATAATAACGCTGTGAAGTGTGTTTTTCAATTATATCAAAACGTGCTATCACGAACTGCTGCGTCCTCCTCTGTGCCTCCACTTAATAAAGGTAGCATGAATGAAACCTAAAGTCTTCTCTATCCACACTCTTCTCTATTCGCGATAACACATTGAAAAATTTGATAACACATGATATTTCACAATCATACTAGGCAAAGCTCGTCTCTCCATCTTTGACGGCAGGTGGCGATATGGAACCATCTGGATGTGTTTTCCCTTTGGAGAAGAAGTCGTTACTTCCGCGTTCCTCAAACACGCGTGTTACAGTGTTAAGACAGTTGTTGACTGGTGTTTTAATTTACAGTCATGGGTAAACTCAAGAAAAATAGTAAACGTAACACGTTTGATTACAATAAAAACAAGAAGAACCTGAAAAGGAAGCTAAGAAGAAAGGAGAAACCGCAAATTGAATGGTAAGTTCAGGGACGTGCTAAATGCCATCTAGAAAGGGCTATCTAGCTAACAATGTTTTTTTTCTTCTTTTTAAGTTATTGGCCTGGTTTCACATATAGGGCTTAGGTTAGGCTTTAGTTACATTTAGGACATTTAGGTAGCTTTTATAAACATGCCTTAGAAAAATAAAACTGTCAAAAACAATGGCACTGACATATTTTAATACATGGCACAAAAGTTTCAATAGAAACGACATTAAACTAAAACATACCGTATTGTAGTAACCATTAATGCATGTCAGTACATTTGACTGTACACTTTAGTCATATTTCAGTATAAGTAATTATGCAATTACATGTAAAGATGTACTTAAGTGTGTCAAAATCAGTTTCGTTGCATTTAATTTAAATGTAATCTACAATACATTTTAATTTAATTACAATTAACTTGAGATTAAGAGTCTGAAAACTTTGCATTCATTTTGCTGAGTTCTTTATAACAAAATTATTTTTTGTGCGTCAATTTAAAACAGTTACTCTGAGGTCCTCAAAAAATGTAAACGTTGGAGCACAGACTTAAGTTTGGTCTCATTTTAAAGAAGACCCGTGGCATATTATTGTTGAAATTTATATAAAATATATATTTAATAACAAACATATAAATATATATATTTAATAGCCATAAATCTAAACAAAAGTTGATATCTCAAATTAGCTTTCAGTAAGATTTAGTTTGGGCAAAGTACCACTTAGATGCCAGCAAAGATGGGATTTGTGATTTGCAGTACAGTAGTAATTTTTCTCTCTCAAAAATGACACACACACACACACAATTTTGTTTAGTATACAAACCACTCTCTGACATCCACATCAACAAACCCGCACAATTATTGCTGCATAATTTATCCAAATTGACTATAATACAACGAGGCAGAAAACATGAAAGCAAGTGTTAGCTTTATAGGAGCCATCTGGTAAAAAAAAAAAATAGTACACATTTTAATTGTGAAGCCTTGCCAACAGAATGAAAGCCTATTGTCAAAGACTGCATCATTTTATAGTTGAATGGCCCTGGGATTAAAACTGGCAGTTTTAATGGTTTTCAATGGGGACATTTTGTTTCTTAAGGTTCTGAGTGCAACTATTTTGTGTACCTCGTTTAAAACCGATTTATTAAAGAGGGGCGAAAGTAAAATTCCAATAAAAAAACAGGAAAAAGACAAAAATGTCCTTAAGGATGCCCAAGGGTTAGTCTTTTTAAAAGTATGCTCAAGTGTATTTTCACAAGGGTGCTGTCATTTGAAACATCTGTCGTTGACTTTTACTCTCCAATGTTATGCATTATGAAGTTTGTCATGAAACGGGTTATCTAACAAGTCCTCAGATACGCAAAGCCTGGGATGAACACAAAACAGTGAGGCAAAATCTACAAGACATGGGGCTGTCGCCTGGGACCAAGGGCATGCTTCCTATTAAACCTAAAAAGGCAAGTATCAAGCTTGAATCGCCGTTACAGTGTGTTTCTACAAATACTGCCTGATCGTGACAACCAATTGCTTTAATCTGATGTTTCAGGACACGAAAAGTGAACCAATGGAGGCAATTGTGTTGAAACCCTATGTCATTAAAGGTACGTTTCGAAACCAGTGCTTATGAAATCTGTTATTATTGAGAATGAGATGTAGTAATATTTTTCATGCACAAATATGATTTGGTTTCTCGCCTGCAGAAATGGAGGCAGAGGCCAGTCTCCGTGGGAAAGACAAAACCACATGCTCCACCGACATGATTGAATATGTTCAACACATGGTGAAGGAACACAATGAGGATTACAAGGTCAAAGAGAGCCGTATATATCCATGATCCTTCTTGTGCACAAGTAACGCTCTTCAGATAGAGTTCACAGAACTGATTATGCTTTATTGACATTTCAGGCGATGGCAAGGGACGAGAAGAATTACTACCAGGACACACCGAAGCAGATCAAACGGAAAGTGGAATTATTCAAACGGTGTCATCCCGAGGAATATGCCGCGTTCATCGCGTCTCTGCAATCTCAGAAGTCTACGTGATGTCAAGGTGAAGAACTGCTAGTCAGAATATCACCTCTTCAATCCTGCTCCTGGAAACACACTGTCCTGCAAAGGTTATATCCATCCTGCTTGTGATTTTATTTTTTAAGGGATCCTGAAGAGCTTGATTAGCTGGTTCAGGTGTGCTTGTTTAAAGATGGAGCTAAACTCTGCAGGACAGTTGAAGACCTAACCTAGGGAGTCTTCAGGATGAGGATTTTCAACAGTTACTTTCTACTATGGCATCTTCAAGAACACGTTAACTTTTAAGTGTTTGTGTGAATCGAGTGAGCAAATTGAGTATTTGTAGATGTATATAAGCTTTGCATTTGTAATTGTATGTTGTGGAGTGAAATGCAGACATATATAAACTCATAAATTACAATTGATTAATTCTGACTTTTTAATGGATATGTCTAGTGTGTTTTGGCAAATAAAATTAAAGGGATACTCCACTTTTTTTGGAAATAGGCTCAGTTAAACTGTTGAGTTTTACCGTTTTTGAATCCATTCAGCCGATCTCCGGTTCTGGTGGTACTACTTTTAGCATAGCTTAGCATACATCATTGAAGTGGACAAGACCATTAGCATTTCTCAAAAAAAAATGACCAAAGAGTTTCGATATTTTTCCTATTTAAAACTTGACTCTTCTGTAGTTATATCGTGCACTAAGACCGACGGAAAATGTAAAGTTGCGATTTTCTAGGCTGATATGGCTAGGAACTATACTCTCATTCCTGCGTAATAATCAAGAAACTTCACTGCCGTACCATGAGTGCAGCAGGCGTAATGACATGACGCAGCGCCTGAAAATAGAGATGGTTACATGAAATCCACGGGGAGGAGTCGGATCCAAATCCAACTCCTCCCACCTTACATATACCTAAACCTACCCATATCCGCCCCCTAATCCCTAAACCCACCCCTAATCCTACCCATCTCCACCCCTTAGATCTTGATCCGACTCCTCCCCGTGGATCTCATGTACTGCATTGAGGTGCTACTGTGAAAATAGGGTACTTTCCGTCAACACAACGGAACTATTTTCAGGCGCTGCGTCATATCATTACGCCTGCTGCACTCATGGCACGGCAGTAAAGTTTCTTGATTATTACGCAGGAATGAGAGTATAGTTCCTAGCCATATCAGCCTAGAAAATCGCAACTTTACATTTTCCGTCGGTCTTAGTGCACGATGTAACTACAGAAGAGTCAAGTTTTAAATAGGAAAAATATCGAAACTCTTTGGTCATTTTTTTTTTGAGAAATGCTAATGGTCTTGTCCACTTCAATGATGTATGCTAAAAGTGGTACCGCCAGAACCGGAGATCGGCTGAATGGATTCAAAAAACGGTAAAACTCAACAGTTTAACTGGGGGAGTTGTAAAATGAGCCTATTTCCAAAAAAAGTGGAGTATCCCTTTAATACATAGGATTGAAAACAACAATCTGATACAGTGCCACATGAAGGAAAAATCTGGGATATGTTCAGCCATATCGAAATAATTTAGAGGTGTTTTTTAAAGAGCTTTATTGTGTTCATATACTACCGTTCAAAAGTTTGGGGATAGTATTTTTAATGTCTTTTAAAAGTCTTCTGTTCACCAAGGCTGCATTTATTTGATTGAAAATACAGTAAAAAATAGCAATATTGTGGGATATTATTACATTTTAAAATAACTGTTTCCTAGTTTAATATATTGTAAAATGTCATTTATTCCTTTGATCAAAGCTGAATTTTCAGCATTATTACGCCAGTCTTTAGTAATATGTTTCCATTCAAGGGTATGGATTTATCTTGTGTCAACAACTTGAATGACCCATGTAACATTTGGGAATAAAGTAGAGTTTTCATATGTTCAAGAGAACAAACTTTATCACAGAAATTGGCTCACCAGCCGGATTCGGATTCTCACAGACTGATGACGCGTTTTAACGGTCACCAGCATCATAAATCCTGCAAGTTTTTGTTTAAATATTATCATTAAATAGTATACATAAATACAAATTACAAAAAAAAAACCTAGATACCACGGCTGTGAGGGTGTTTAATACAGCGGCTATGGAAGTGACGGTAAAATTGACGCCTTTCTCTCTTCTGACTGCCAATCTCTATATTTTTCCCCCTCTTTTTGAAAGTTGTGAAAACACTATTGTGGAAAATATATTTAATGTAGTCTCGCATTCACCGCTATAGAAGTTTACCCAACTATGACGACTTCCGCTTCTGAGAAACCTGGAAATGTGAAATCTGTGTGGGGAAATGTTTCGTCCTTGTGCAAAATACCCCAATCACGCAGATTTCTATTGAAATTACTGGATTTTGCCTGTAAAATTTTGACGAAAAATGGCAAATGTGACCGCAAAATTAATTACACCAACATTAGGATAAATAATGTTTAAAAAAATATATAATCACACGATTTTTTTAAAGGTCTTTTTTATCTGACATGTCAATTGTTTTCTGCAGTACATTGTGCCAAAATGACGTGTAGTGTTAAATTTTAAACGCCTTTAATACAGAATAATTACAGAGGTTTGTACATGTTTTCAGTGCTGTAGTGTTCCTATAGACACTGGTGTTGCTTCATCACTTTATTTTATGTCACATGCTGCATAGCATGGTTGTGAATGAGTTAAAATAAAAAATCTTCACAGCAACTGTTCAGCGTTGCGAAATCCTCACAAGACTATAAATGCACTGCATTTTCATTACAAAACTGACATTTATTACATTCATAGGGCATTTTATTTTGTCCATGTATCTCCAGGGTAGGAGTATCTGTAGCCAATGTAATTTGCAATTAATATGGGGTAAATAAGCTGTATTTCAAGAGACTTTTCATATAGTTCTTCTTTCATACCACTAGCTCTTGTTGATGCTAATTCAAACCACTTGCATAACCAGACTATTGATTTCACAGTGAAGACGCCTTATTTTTGAACAGCCGTGCAAATTCAACACAACATCTCAGTTTGCAGCCTGAATCACAGTTATGAAAAGAGAATTATCTGAGGTATCTACTTATCATCAGCACAATCTGACACGCTGGAGGCAAAAAGCGTTCCCAAAGATTAGTTGAATTAATCACTCATGGAATGTCCCTATTTCAGCAAAATCTTTTTTCAGAAAAAAAGATATTTCTCATCAAAACAGTTTTTTTGAATGTTTTTCCATTGTGGCATTATTGCCATGATATTTACAGACATGCCCTTAATTCTCATATCAACAAAATAAATAAATAATAATTGGTCCTGAAGTATAAACATATTTTTAAATTAATTTGTATTTAAATCAGACAATTCATTATATACACATATATAAATATATATATATATATATATATATATATATATATATATATATATATATATATATATATATATACACATATGCACACACACACACACACACACATATATTTATATACATAGATATACACATACATTCATATATACACTGACCAAAGTCCAAAGTTGTTGTTACCAAACAAAAACAAAAAAAGTCGCTGTTTGGATTTCCATAGGCAAATACTTGATTGATTGAGTCAATGATTGGATAATTATTGCAGTGTTTTCCAATAATTTCCTGTTTCCAACATTAATAATAACTAAGCATCAAATCAGCATATTAGAATGATTTCTGAAGGATCATGTGACACTGGAGTAATGATGCTGAAAATTCAGCTTTGCATCACAGGAGAAAACTATATTTTAAAGTATATTAAAATAGAAAACCATTATTTTAAATTCTAATGATATTTCACAATATTACAGTTTTTTCAGTATTTTTGATCAAATAAATGCAGGCTTGATGAGCACAAGATACTTCTTTCAAAAACATTCAAAATAGTAATGTTTCCAGACTTAGTTTTGACCGGTACTGTATGTATATATAGCGTTTCCAAGCTAAATACTTCCTGTTGCAAGCAGGAGAACTTGTCAGCAATACATAAGTTTGTTATTGGAAATATGACTCCACATGCAGAGATAAAACATAATATATAATACACTCTTTGTAATACTGAATATAATCATATTCATGAAAAGTAAGATATTGTGCACTGTAACTAGCAGCAATAATGCCCACATCAGCACAGTACTCATTTTGAAAAAATAGTGTTTGTTCAACTCCTTAAGTAGCATTATCCTGACGGAAACGTTCCTTACTTCTCGCACGATTCAAGGAAGATGGAATGCTCCCTCGTTACAAAAGATCCCTTTGCCAGTCTTTAATCACACAACCGGTCACACCAATGTCAGAAGCAGGTCCTGGAACTTTTGGAGGCCGCAGGTTCTGCTTAATCCGTCAGATCCCGACTGTGCTTCCAGCAGGAAGAGCTTCCTCTGATCCGCCACAGAGCTCAGGGAAAGAGCCTCGCGCAGCTCCGGCACGCTAACAGCATCGGGCTTATCCTAGTGAGGGTATCAAAAGCAATTTAGCCAAGATTCACAGTGAAACAAAAAACAGGGAGCTTACTACTCTATTTAAAGTATAGTTCACCCACAAGTGAATATCCAAACCCGTATGCCTTACTTTTGCGGAAAAAAAAAACTTTTGGTCCAGTGCTGCTTTGGACCCGTTTTATTGTATGGGCAAAAACTATTTCTTCAAAATAGGGTGAACTATCCCTTTAAAGGTGCTCTATGTAACTTTTCTACTAAAATGAATCCTTTTTTTATTGCCTGTGTGTGAAGGGGATGTAATCACACATTAAAATGATCCACTTGTCGAGTTTTGCTATCACCTCTGAAGGCCAGTATTCCTATTTCTATGTGAAGTCTCCGGGTCGGATTTACGGCGAAATCCAACGGATGTGACGTGCATGCGCGCTCCCGAGCCTCTCTCCTTATATACAGTCTAGACGGTCAGGGAGTTACGTCCGGTTAAAGGCGCACGTTTTTCGGTTTATATCTCAGTCAATCTTTGATCAATATTCCCAAGACTAATCGTTCGTAGTGCTGGACGGGGCCTTTCGAACGAGCCCACCCCCGAGGTCCAACTCGCCCGGCTCCCCGAGTTATAGCCGTTCGAAATCGGGGGTCCCAGCGAATGGCGATCCGGTAGGGGGCATCCCCGAGGCCCGCCACTCTAGCGTTCGGGCAAGGGTTCCCCTGGGACCTCCTCCCCCGAATTTGAGCTCTCTGGGTCTTTACGTTCCAGAGATACGAGCGATTTTCTTCTGAGATCGTGACGTCACCGGCGTCCGCAATTTCGCAGCGCGCCCGATGGTTTTCGGCTAATATCTCCGCGAAAACACCACCAAAAACTATGGAACTTATATGGTTCTTTTCAGCTCGACTAGATGGTCCCAACGAGCTCGGTGCTCGCCGAATCCGTTTAGTATTTGCCGAGATATTTGCGTAATAGACGGTATTGTCTATGAGTTCGAGCACGAGCGCTCTTGTAAAATTTGGTTGCAATCTGAAACATCACCACTAGAGGCCGCTAAAAGTTACATAGAGCACCTTTAACTAGAGGGGGAAAAACACCAGAAAAACACAGTGGGAATCAATATGAAGCCTTTCCGACACTAAACAGGGTTAAAGTTCAACTACGAACTGAGGCTTTTGGTCACCTGCTTGTTTCCCAAGACCACCACTGGAAGATCAGTGTCTGCTTTCAGTAACCGATGGAGCTCGTCTTTGGCCTCAGGGAGCCGGCCTCGATCAGAGGAGTCCACCACGTACACCAAGATGTGTGTTTTCCTCAGGTAATCCACCCAGTACATTCGCAAGTCTTTACCACCTCCAACTGACGGAACAAGGTGATCGAATAAACTGTAATGCGTTATTACTGCCATAAACACAGATGAACAGGCTTTACGAGAATACGAAATGGCTGGTAAGGCAATAACTGAGTCTGTCATTATCACTTTGAGAGCAAGAACAAGTATCCCACATGAGTAATATGAACATACTCTTCTGAAAAAGAGGTGTGCTTAATTGTATTGAACGTGTACTTGCAGTGTACTTCAAAAACTGTACATGCAAATATACTATAAATGTTATAAAAAAAAAAACATTTCATGCGTTTCTAATCTTGGCATTAAAGTACACTTTTAAAAAGTGCACTTTGTAATAATTTGAATAATCTTTTGTTGAGCTTTAAAGAAGTATACTAATTTTGATGTGTTGATATTAATGCTGCCTTCGTGTGCTATCGTAATTATCATAGTTCGTAACCAGGAAACTCGGTATTATCGTATTGAGTTTACTTGTTAAAAATTGGACATGAAGTCGTATATACCACTGGGAAACTTGGGGATAATTTTGATACCCAAGTTTCCGAGTTGGGCGTGACATGAACTTTAAACGTGGTGGAGGGGAGAACGATTGCTGCAAGTAGTGCATACTTACATATATGAACAATCATTTTGAATGTATTGTATGCTTAATACATAGTAAAAATAGCCTGTATTTGAACAAAATTCCCCAAGCTGACTATCTAGATAGCATGGTGTGGTGAATGTTTATATGCTTGTCAATGTATGGGACGCTATCGAGATGAATCTAGTTTGAACACAGATTATTTCCGTATTAAGTACTCGCTAAAGTGTACTTGTTTTTCACAAAGGTGTGCAGGAGGAAAGGGTGATCTGGCACCAATTCGTACTTTCCAGGAAGTCCAGCTGGCACGCAGGTGTGTGTAGGCTGATGAAGTTGAAGCCGCGCGTGGGCTTCCGGGAGCCCGTCCTGTGGCCCACTCCACTCAGATCCTGCAGAAAACTGCTCTTACCAGCGCCGTCCAACCCAAGAACAAGCACCTGCTTCTCACTCCGCTCCTCCTCCTCCTCCTAAACATACACACATTCATGGAAGAGAAGGCAGGGAAATGAATGAGCAATACAGCAGGACTGGATTTAAAGTCTGTTTTTCCTGGGATTTTAGCACATAAAGCGGGGATTAATTTTGCAATTTCTGCAAATAGTCAAAGCCTTTGCCATCATTAATTAGGGTATTAGTTGTGTAATAACAGACAGACCGACCCCGTTTCTGTTACTTTGGCTATTCTGTTGATGTCGCAGAGGGGAAAAAACAGGTTTATGCCTGATTTATTGTTTTTAACAATAATAATAATAATATAATTTTCCCTTTAATCTTAAATAAGCACTCTACATCAAACGTTGTCACACTGTTTTTGTGGCACTGTATATTCATGATGAATAATCCATATACTTTACCCCACTATCATGAACTTTCATGATCGTTTCATCATAAATCATTTTGTTTACTGGTTTGACTCATTCATTGGAATGAACCAACTCAAAGGAACAACTGAACATCACCACCTGCAAACAAGATTTACTCTTCCAAGGTCAATATCTAGCTGCTGACTGAAATATCATAGACCTGAATATTACTATTTAGTATAGAAATTTCCATGACTTTTTTTTTTCCATACATGATTTTATATCACGACACGTAAATTCTGATATTTTCAAGTTGTCCATGAACTTGGGAACCACGTAGGTTATATGCTCATCTAAACACAGTAATGTTTTGATAATAAGCAATATAATTCGTTTGAAACAGTTGTTTTGTTCTCGGATGCAGCTGGGTATTGGTATTGCACTTTTAGAGATAACTGTAAAAAAGCATTACAAATAAATAGAAATTAACAGAATTACTTTTATATCATCTAGATACTGTGACTTCTCAAAATAGAATACGAATGCACACAGAATCCAAAATCACACAGACATACAGTCGCTACGTAGTGTGTACAGTTCAATAAACTGAAAGTTCCCTTGATGATTGTCTCCATCAGTCACGCGCGACAAGCGGTATCATAAAAAGAGGAACTATTACTTTCGTTTTATACTAACCTCTCGAAACGTGCAGTAGTCTGACTCTGGTGTCCATACCCGTCTTGTATAAAAGACATTGAGTGCGATAAACAGCGCGGTCCCGACCGCAGCCATCGCGGCGCTGAACGCCACGGAGATATGACGCAGTACAACCATGAGCGCACCTGAACCTGAACCTGAAGAGAAGTGTGTGTGACCGAGCAGAGCGCGAGCTGCTGCTTTTGCTCTCCAGTGCAGCACGTGATCCGCCCTGGATTGTTTTGAAAAGCACGCGCCCAGTTTCACCCCAGCGGGTGACAGTTGAGGGGAGGAGAACCTTCACTTCTTGCTTGGTATTAAAAATGTGGTATTGGTATTTTGGTATTTTAATGTATAACTAATTAAAAAAAGTGTACAGTTCGATTTAACAGTTCTGCTGTCCATAAATTATGTTGGAATGTGGTGTGTATGTATGTGCCACTTAAACTATGATGTGTGTGTGTGTGTGTGTGTGTGTGTGTGTGTGTCACTTAAACTATGGTGTATATTGAAACACATTTTTGGTTCAAAAACAAATTACAAAACTAACCAGGAGACAGGAAAAAAAACCGCAAACAGAACATTAGTTTAAACTAACCTAATAGGTAATGCATTATACTTGCCGTTGGAGGGCGTTGTTTAGTTGAAATTTGGGGAACTTGTGTTGACAATATTGTGTGTTGACATAAATTATTTTTGGTAGAGATTCACATGCACACACAGTTTACGACTGCTAATACCGCTGCATTTTTAGCACACCTCTGGATTAACTTTGGTTCCTTTGTTTTGCATTGATTCTTTAGTTAAGTGAACTTTTCTGTTTCGAGGCAGTTTAAAAAAAAAATATCATCCTAGTATCAAATGATAAATTATTACAACTTTTATATTGTGCTTTTTTTATAATAAAGAGTGTCAAAATAAGGGAAAATGTATACTTTGCATTTTTTAAGAACTTTAAAAAGTCATATTTTCTATTAGTTTGGTATGCATAGCATTTATGACAAATAATCACTGTCCCCAATACTGCCATCATTAGATTCAATCCCAACACTCATTTTAATGAAAGTTTTGAGTCAAAAATAAATTATATTTCATGTTTTTATTTATTTGATTAATATTTTAATTAATTAATTACAACATTTTAAGAAATTATGGTTTGTGAGTAGCTTTATTAAGTGAATTGAATAATTCAAAAACAACACAATTATTTTATATATATATATATGTGTGTGTGTGTGTGTGTTAATTAACTGCTAGCTTACTTGTGTCAACTAGTCCAAGGCTTATCTAACCCCCTTGAAAATGATCAAATGTTATTACAGTCTCACATCATTATCATCAGTGTTGGGTAAAATTACTTTTAAAAGTTATGCATTATGTTTTGCATTACTCCTTAAAAAAGTAACTGATTGTGTTACTTTGTTACCTTTTATGTAAAGTAATGTGTTACATTACTTTTGTGTTACTTTTTCTCATCTGGGCTGGGCTTGCTTGTTTGTTTCAATAACAAACAACAACAACAGTTCTATTTTTGGCCAATGCAAAGGCTCTTTCACACCAAAAGTGACATGAATAATCCTCAGGCTGTTAGAGATGCGAATGCACGCCTGTACAGTAGAGGGCGACACTAAAACAAACCTTTCAGCTGTGCTGCCATTCTGGGTGAGATTAATATTTGTGCAATTTAACATATTTAATTATTGCAGGTTTGCATACTATTCTGAGTTTGCATTTCACAGTTTTTATTCATTTTGAGGAATACTGAATCTGTTTTTGTGCAAGTGAGATGAGTACATTTAGTGTAGAACTACAATAACCCGTCATGTTCACACAACACCTCTGCACTTTCTCCTGATTTCTCTCAGCTGTCAGTCAATAAATGGGAAAACACAGTAACTCACGTTACTTATTTAAAAAATAACTAATATATTTTGTTTTAAATGTAAAGGTAATGCATTACTTTACTAGTTACTCTAAAAAAGTAATTGATTACGTAAATTGCGTTACATTAAATTACCCACAACTCTGATTATCATCACACTCATTGTCCACATCAAAAATACACTTAAAGATTGATCAGATCCTTAATTCCAGGACATGTGATAAATGTATCCAAAAGAGGCCATTAACTTAAAGGGGTTGTTCACCCTAAAATGACATTTTTTGTCATAATTTACTCAACCTCGATGTGTTCCAAACCTGTATGAGTTTATTTCTTCTGCTGAAGAAGATATTTTAAAGAATGTCAGAAACCAAACAGTTCTTTCTGTTACAAAACATGGCATTGATTTCATACATGTCCACTGTAGAGGACACCAGAACCTATCAGGCATTCTGGGAGACACAATGGAATAGGGAAATCAATATATCAATATTCTTATGAAATATTAGACATCATTCTGAAAATGTTGCCAATTACTTCTCCCATTGTTATACTTATTTCTTCATTACACGTTGCCCCAACAACACAATAATATGCAGATTAGATACAGTGTATAGATACGTTGTATTGAATGGTAGCCTACTACACATTTATGGCCACATTGCATAAAGTAAAATGGTATATCAATTCATTCCGTTATAACTTTCATAACATCGTTGAGAATCATCTTTATACAAAGTTTGGTAAAAAAAAAAAAAAAAAAAAAAGACTGATTGGTGAATGAAAACAAAATCCCATTTCATGTCTTTTTATTTGTTTAAACAACTGGAGTCCTGGTGTCCGCTACAGATGACATAGCATTTATAAAATAAGATATAGTTATGCTCTTATGCTCTAACCCGTGTAAGGATATGAAGAAGAAAAAAGAAAAAAAGAAAAAAAAATTCTATTGGCTGTCATGAGGAGAATGGTTAATCTGAATGTGCTCCGCTACTAGAAGGACTACGGCCATCACCTGTATGACGTAATCCATTCCGACCGCAGCATAGCGACCGAGCTTGACTACGGGGGAGAACCGCACACAGCCACTTAAAGGAAAACACAACATTTGGAAACAAATGAGAAAGAAACGCGCTACTTTTTCCAAAGAAATTGCCGAAATGCACCGGAGGTGATAGGAATGCATCGGCAAAACACGAAGATACGGAAAACGTTTGTGTGGAGTAACTAACTGTGTGCGGTGCCTATATACAACGAGCTTTTGGGCTAACAGGCTAGCACAGTTGTCGCTAAAACATGGTGGGCAGACACTGAGCGAAAACCCCCCACCATAGACTCGCTCATATGTGGAGACTACTGGAAAATTAGCTATATTTTCTGCTCGGAGGGAATTGTGTGGACTTTAAAATCGACTTTCGACTTCTTTTTCTTGGAGGAAAACTCTCGCGCACGACCTTTGAAAGTTTTTTGACGTCTCGCGCAAGTTAACCGTCCATCAATCTCCGCGAGTAAAGATGATTGACTGTTTGATGTAGTGCGTACTCGACCGAGAATGCACAAGAAACGAGGAGTTTCTGAACATAAAAGCGCAACTCCTGCGGCAAAGTTACGCGATTCAGAGCATCACACCCTCGTCCATTCATTTAACAGCGTTTGCTCGTGGAAACAATGCTCGGTATAGCCTGCACGAATTGAACTGGAATATTGGAACACGTATGATATGGAATACATCTGTCAGTGGTTAATTAATGGCACTTTCCCTATGCGTGGGGTTTAACTTTTTTGGACTAACTTAGTCCACGCAAAGCAACACATGGTTTGCTTTCAAATCAACTTAGAAGACTTACAGAGAAAATTACATGGAGACTAGTTGGTCATGCCAAGGAAGGAGTTACCATTGCCAGAGGGTTGGGAAGAGGCCCGAGATTTTGACGGGAAGGTCTATTATATAGACCATATAAATCAAGCCACCAGTTGGATTGACCCAAGGGATAGGTATGTGTTGAGTACTGCACGTTCTGGGAATGCATACTTGCATACTACTCAGTATACAGATGCACGCTGAGTCCATTACTCATGTGTACAGCTGTTAGTTCACTGAATGTGTTCTTCTTTAAATCCTCAATTCGCAATAATACACACGTCGAAGCATCAAAAATGGGCTGCATTTCAGTGTTGAACTACTGCTTTGTTTCATCCTGGAACCCATGATCAGTGCCAGCTTTACCACTTAAGTCTTCCTGGACTTTAACACAAAATCCGTGCAGGAATGCTTAAGATTATATTCAAGGTTTGGTATGTTTTTGGTATGTGCACTGGGGTGTTTTTCCTTCCCTTCTTTGGATTTTCAGTTATTTACAGCGTGCACAGAAATGGAAAGATGATAGCAAACAGACCGCATATTTGTCCTCTTTGTGTGGTGCAACTGGTTTGCCTGTAGCCAGGAAACCAAGATGGCAGAAAGTTGTAAACAAGTACCTGGGACACATTCCTTAGCATGAGCGAAGCCCACAGCTGATTCCCTCAAATCCCTTTCACGGGATCAAAGTGCACCCGAGCTGTGCAAACTTTAACAAGAATGGTCAAATAGTTTTTGATGCATTCCACAGTTGTTTGCTCGGTATAAGAGCTACGTTTTTGTCAAAGTTTTGGAATAGTTCACCCAAAAATAAAACAAATTCTGTCATCTTTTACTCGACCTCATGGCATTCCAAACCAGGATGACTTTCTTCTGGAATACAAATGAAGATATTTTGAAAGATATTATATATATATGATGATATTTCTCTGTGTGTGGTAAAAAATAAACAAAACATTTTTTTTTTATATATATATATATATATATATATATATATATATATACATACATTGAAAGTATGCAATGCTGCTTTAGACATAGACTTTCATCGTATGGACAAAAACAGTTGAAATATTTTTAAAAATATCTTCATTTGTGTTTCACAGAAGAAAGTATGTCATACATGTTTGGAATGACATTAGGATTTTTTTTTTGTGTGTATTAATAAATGGGGTTATAAATAAAGGCAGAAATACATGCATGAACATATATGTATATTTATAAATATATATATTATTATATGTAATATTTTACATTATATAAATAAAGGCAGAAATACATACATGCACGTTCATGTATGTATTTCTGCCTTTATTTATATAATGTAAAATATTAAATTTAATATAAAATAAAATGTAAAAATAATATAATATATACGGTTTAATAACTTTTCTATTTTAACTTATAATTAATAACTTAATAACTTTTCTATTTTAATATTTTATTTTAATAAACTAATTTATTTATGTGATTAAAGCTGAATCTTCAGTATAATTACTCCATTCTTCAGTGTCACATGATCCTTCGGAAATCATTCTGTTATGCTCAAGAAATATTTCTGATTATTATCAATGTTGAAAACAGTTTTTTGCTGCTTCATATTTTTATGGGAACCGTAATAATTTTTTGGGGGTTCATTGAAAATTAAAAAAAGTTCAATGAACATCATTTATTTGAAATAATATTTGAATGTTATAAATGTCTTTATTGTCACTTTTGATCAATTTAATCCATCCCTGCTAAATTAAAGTATTATTATTTAAATATATATATATATATATATATATATATATATATATATATATATATATATATATATATATATATATATATATATATATTTACCCCAACTTTTGAATTGTAGTGCATCACTTTTCCATAAAAAAAAATAGGTAGCACAACTGTGTTCATCATCATGAAGAGTGAAGAGTAATGATGCTGAAAATTCAGTTTGGCCTGTCACAGGAATAAATGACATTTTAAAATATATTCAAATAGATTTATATTTCATTTAGTTATATTTCACAATGCAACTTGTTTTTATTTTGATAAATGAAATGCAGCCTTGGTGAACAAAAGACACTTCTTATCAAAAACATAAATTAAAATCTGAATTATTCTAAACTTTTGACCGGTTGTGTATGTATGTGAAATTTTGATGTAAAATGAATAAGAAATATTTAAGATAAATCAATAAATGATGACAGAATTTCGGACCTCACTCTTATTCCAATAGAATTTAGTGTGTACTGAAATGGCACTGAGTTGAGCAACTGCACGGAAACAAAAGCTGAGGCACAACAGACGTTTCCGCGCTCATGCCTGGTCGGCTGGTCTGTTATTGCACAGTGTGGTGCATCAAAGGCGCTGATTAAAAATGACAAATATTTCAAATCCTGACCCAAAACTGTCAGCAGACCCGTCTCCCCCCATCTCTCAGACGGCTGCTCCTCCACTGCTGAGCAACAGTTAGTTGACAGGGAGATCTGATGTTTGTAGCTCTTCTTGGTAATGAGCTCCCATTTGACAGCGTTCTTGAGGCAAATGCACAGAGGCGCTGAGGTGTTGCCTGCCCTGTCCAGTCATTCATTAATAATAATAATAATAATAATAACAACAATGTGCTGCTTGAGATTGTTAAACCTATCTGAGGTTTTGGTTGAGTAATTTACATGCATTCAAAATGTTATTAGTAATGATCTTCATGTAGTTGCTGTTTGTCTGGCTGAGTTTGGCTTTTTGGTTGTAGTTACATCACATCAATATTTTTTTATTGCTTTTTTTTAGTACTTGCAGGCTAAATCAGTTTTGTGTTTTGCCGTACTGAGATTATGTCGTTTGTTTACCTATTAAATAGGTTCCTAATTTTCAGTGCTTCTATTCACAGCTGCCCGCTGTATGTCATCTTGTTTTTCTGCTTGAGAATGGATCCAAATATTCAAGATTACAGGGATCCATAAGTACAAATTGGAAGTGCCTGTAATTGAAATCTAATCACTGAGTGTTATTGCTGTAGTTTTCTGTGGTGACATCATGCTCAGGGGAAGTGTTTGAGGATGATCCGGGTCACGTCCTGAACCCTGATCCCCACTTCGCTCTCTCACCTCTACACTTTCCTGTTTAGCACATCTGTGTACTAATAATAGTATAGCAAAATGTATTATTTTTATGCTTTTATAATAATAATAACAATACAATATAATATATATTATAAAGTCAGAAAAGCAACAAAGCAAAATGATACAATGGAGTACAAAAGTATGGAGCCTGTAAAGGGACATGTTGATAAATGTGAAATAATTATATTTAAAAACTTTTGTGTTGGAAATAATAAGCGGCTCCTTACAAAAATGTAAGATCATATTGATTTTTTTAAAAACTTGAGCCTGGAAATAAACAAAGTTTAGAAAACATGTAAAACAATATATTAGAAGAACGGATATATGTGTATGCTTTAATATTAATATATTACTAGAAATAAAGGCATATATAAATATATATATTATACATCAGATTTTACATTTCTAGGTCATTCAAGTCAAGTCATCTTCATTTATGTAGCGCTTTCAACAATGGAGATTGTTTCAAAGCAGCTTTACAGAGATAAACATACAATTTCCGGTAACAGAGATTATTTTGGCTTTATAGCGATTTTTGAATAATGTTATTTCCAGCTAAAGTTGGTTTTGATTGATTCACTTCCAGCAAAATGATCATTTGTTATTACATTAGGGGCCACTAAGACGACGGCGTTCTCTAAACAGACTTCAAACGCGAACCTGTGACCTGATGGCGTTCACATGCGCATTAAAAATTGATTCTATAGTTATATTCGTTTGAATAAATGTGCGCAGGTTTGTAATTTCCCTACAAACCATGCCTAAACAAACTACTTGTCTTGCCTATACATTTGATAAAGAATTTTGTTATCTTTTTTTGAGAAATGCTAATGGTCTTGTCCACTTCAATGATGTATGCTAAGCTATGCTACAAGTGGTACCGCCAGAACCGGAGATCGGCTGAATGGATTCAAAAAACGGTAAAACTCAACAGTTTAACTCTGGGGGAGTTGTAAAATGAGCCTATTTCCAAAAAATGTGGAGTATCCCTTTAACCAAATGTCAGATAACATGGATCATCAGGTTAGGCACTTTATGTAAGCTCAAGTGCTACTGTCATAGAAGCGAAAAGAGGGCAAGCCAAATACTAAGGCCCTGTTTACTCCTGGTGTTAAGATGTGTTTTCGTCGATCGCAGCGAGTGTGTGTTAGAAATCAGGAATGGTGAGAGAACATTGTGCTTGGTACATTTTTCGTCTTCAAATCAAACTTGGGTCTCCATCTGACAGTTTAAATCCCGTCTGGCTAGAGCGCTTCCCATAATGTTTACACATCAGGTCAGTAGCGGAGAGAAGACGGCCTTTTGTGGCCATTCCAACACTTTCGACCACATGAGCGTTTACACTGTGAAGGCAATCCGGTCGAATGCGTTTTCAACTCCCTCTGGAAGTGGTCTAAAGTGAACAAGCTCAATACGTTTCAGACTTCCACTTGTGATCCGATCGACCAAAACGCATCTTAATACCAGGTATAATAAACAGGGTCTTAGACTTTTTGAATTTCATGTACATTTTTAACTTTAAACTCAAATTGTTGCTGATGATATAATTTGAAACAAAAATAGATTTAATAGATTAGATAGGAAAAATGCAACATTAGAGGATGTTCAGTAGTGCTCTCAGACTTTGACAAGAATCAAATGCCTCATCATTTGTTTTCTTTGCAAACGCGATGAAGGTCCAACCGCATAAATGCGGAGAAAGCATTCCTGTGGACTGCCCACATGTCCCACACTGGGCGTAACTGTTTTGTTTTGCCTCAGCGTGACATGCTGAAAACATGCGCTCAGGTAAATGGAATGTTATCTGGCTCTCTCTGATAGGAGACCGCCGTCGGGGTGTAGCAGCGCACTTTTATTGTCGGACCTTGAGCGCTGCTAGTTGGAGCCTCATAAATGACTCGGGGAATTTATGGAGTGCGCTGAATGAAAGTGTCTGACTCATCGTTGAGCTATGTCCTGTGTTTGCACTCGGCTGTGCGCTTTGTCATTTCGCATTAGACCGTGGGTTCTGGGTCTTT